TAGGTCACGTTTTGGTCAAGGTCAGGTCAAGGTCAGGTCAAATTAGGTCAAATTTCAAAGTTGATATTTTTGCATAAAATGGGTATCGATTCGATGCAGCTTGTCACGGGGAGTTCAATGGTGGTCTCCGTTTTGCGCTACGAGGTCTAGAATTGCTAAAAATTGAGTTCAAAAATTTGACGTCATCAATTTTTAACAGTTTTTTCGCTATAACTTGGCCAAAAAAAGAGGTATCGATCTAAAATTTGGTATGTATATCGAAGAGCGCAGGGACTATCACATATATTCCGGTTTTTTCGAAGTTCGAAAAATTTTTGGAAATTTTTTGGGTTTTTCTAAAAAAAATCAATTTTTTTGATTTTTGGGGGTCAAAATCCCAAAATTTCGAAAATCCGAGATAGCAGTTTTGTAGCGCCGTCTTTTCTCTACACAACCACATAAAGAACTTTAAAATTGCTTGTTAACTGTAGAATAGGTGAGTGTTTCAAGATGTCATGTTTTTTGCTCATTTTTGCTCGAACATGACCTCAGTTTGACCTCAATAACTCCTGACCTGAGGTGACCTGTGACTTGAAATTTTGTGTGAAGGTGTCAAATTGATGCCCGGTAAGGTACCCAAAATTTGGCGGCGCTGCGCGCCGCCGTTTTCTCGCTATTTAAGAAAAACCACAGGGGGGGCCAAAATGGCCCCCCCCCATCAGGGCGCGGGTTAAAACCAGTACTAGCTTGTTACGGTATACATCCTTTCAGTATAAGTTTGCTATGAGAATAATAACAACAAACTCCTTCTTATTCAAAATAAATCGCAGAGATCATGATCGATGCACCTTCTGTGATCGTAACCCTGAAACATTAAAACATTTATTCATCACATGCCCACACGTTCGCATATTTTGGGAAGATCTTTCTCGCTTCTTACACACAAATATAATTGGCCAACTTAATGATAAAACTAAATGTTTTGGTGACAGTGAAAACGCATTGCTTACTCATATGGTAACAGTTGCGAAACTCTGTATATATCGACGCAAGATATAAAGAAACAAAACCATCAATACATAACTTTAAACTCTGCATCAAACGAGATTATGAAACTGAAAAATATATTGCAATGAACGGTAATGATATGGAAGTTTTCGCAAATAAATGGAGTAAGCTCCAAAATAGGTACCTACACTCGGCTCAGCTCAAACAACCAATAAGAACCAGGCTACCTCGTCTTGCTACCCGGCACATCGCGGCGCCGCACAACGGTGAACCGGAAAACTTTATCCATCACTCATATATCAATCAGTAGCCTGAATGATATATTTATCTCCAATGCTGCTTATTTACTGCTTATTTACATCCAATGCCCTAAAATATATCCTTCTATGATCCTTCCCACTCTCGAGCGCTGCTGTGTGGGGGCGGCATCTGATGGCGGCCCGTGGCCGGCCGGTGCGGTGGCGCCACCTACTGCTGGATGTAGTGGCGCCCCCTCTCCGTTCCTGGAGCAGACAATGACATGTTCAAAGACTGACCGCCTCCGTCTGCCGCTCCGCTGTCGCCCCTTCAGTTCCTGCTGAGTATCTAAAATATTGTCACACTTGTGCTCGAACATGTGGTTAAATTTTTGTTTACTTTTTACTTTCTTTACTTACTTTTTGCGTGGTCTGTGGTTGGTGTGGACAATTTATTTAGTATAAAATGTCAGCTGGCGGGTGTTATATAGGTACCTATACAGAATTGGTTCGCGATTATGTGTGAAAAGAATGTGAATTAGAAATGTTATTGATGAAACCTGGGTCACACTGGGCAGTTTTCGTATTTTTATTTTTGCTTTGCAGTCTCTTATGTTCCTCTAGCGTGACTGGACGTCCCGAATTGAAACATAAGCGTGGATTATTAGAGTGACAGCCGAGTAAGAGTGGATATTCAATAGCAACTGAAAGTGTTGAGTGGGGGGAGGGGGATGAGAGTCATGGGTGCAATAATTGTTTAAGCAACCTGTATGTAAGTGAAATAAATACATTTATGAAAAAAGCACTCAACAGATTAAGAAAAAGGAGACTGGTTTAATAACCAAAGTCAAACTTTTGTCGGAGATGTCCAGGGCCATTTTCCAGCAAGAAAGGACTTGAGCTTATCACTCCAGGAAGACCCAGTACTGGTGCCGAGCGAGGCTCCCAGGCCTCTGGGAGAAGGGGACATGGTCTGGCAACAGTCTGGACCTGTTCCCGATCCAAACTATCTGAAAGATCGTAAGCAAAGAGCTCAGCAAGCTTACATCGGTTAGCTCAGAGAAGAGGATGTTTCAGAAGTTATAAACGGCATGGCGTAGTTTCAAGGGAGAGACTCTTGACAACCTGAAACGTGACAAGCTAGAGTGCAATAGGCCGTGTATGCGACTCAATGGGGACTATGATAACCCGGGCCCCGCTGGGCTATTCAGCCATACGCGCCCTGCTGGGGGGGGGGGGGAGATTCTGCCCCCCCCCGTCTAACTTTCGAACCGATGGTCGTAGAAAGACAGGGAAAACGGCAATCGAAAGCTCTCAACAAGGCGGATCTTAAGAGACCAATTTTGTTTGCTTAAGTAGGTCAGGGGTCAGGTCAAGGTCAGGTCAAGGGTACAAAATGCAAGTTTCTACAGTATCGGCCTTGCACCGTAGTTGCCGAAGAATGGACTGAGGCTGATTGCCCAAAACGTGTTTTTAGACTACCAAGACAATATTCGTTGCATACAATGTCATTCAAAGGTCAAGGTTAAGGTCAGGTCAGGTCAGGTCAGGTCACCAAAAACAAAATATAGAAAAGGGCATGTGCGACACATGTTTTATGGGTCATTCTACTCATAGAATTCAATAGGCACACCCAATAAGTGATCTGGACCACCTCTGGATGAATTTCAGGTCGAGGTCAGGTCAAGGTTAGGTCAAGTGAGGTCAAATTTTGAAGTTGGTTGTTAAGGCCTGAAAAGGTGTCTATCTGATGCAGTTTTTCACGGCGAATCGAATGGTGCTATTTTTTGTTTCCGTACGAGGTCTAGAACTTCCAAAAAAATCATTTTTCAAAATTTGTGTGTGTCGTGACGTCATAAATTTTGAATAACTCCCACATTTCTGAACCGATTCTTCTAAAAATTGGTATGTAGGTGCACATGACCAGTTCTCTGACATGTATTCTGGTTTTTTGATACACTCAAAATTTTGGATTTTATAGTTATTTTCCCAAAAAAGTCAGTTTTTTGGAAAAATTTTGGGCCAGAATCCAAAATTTGCAAAAAAACCAGATAGCCATTTGATAGACAAAGTAGAATCGCGTATAATCTTTTTTGTTACGTCTTGATTCCTCTACAAATAATGATGTTAGCGGCGTTTGAAATTTTGCCGTTTTTGAGGCGAAAATGGCGAACATGACGTCACTAAAACGTCAATTTCTCAAAAAATTTCCGAGTGTGTCAAATTGATGTATGATAAGGTACTAAAAGTTTGACGTCGCTGGCGTAACGCGTTTAGAAGTTATTGGCGAAAAACGGGAGGGGGCAGATTCTGCCCCCCCCCCCCTCAGCGGGGTGCGGGATAGCATATAAACCGTGAAACAAATTGAGGTACAGGGTGTCGGGAAATTATTTGCCCCTGGTTCATTGAGCTAAATCCCACCATGCGCTTTAGGAACTGTAAAAAAAAATTGCTAATAACTTATTTACTGGTGTGTACAATGTACATGTGCTAATGTTTGTGCGAATTAAAACTACTTCCATTGTCCATTGAGCCATCTGACGTGCGAGTATGAAAAGCCCCAGTGTACTGTGGATTATTCGTGAATACACATCTGTGTCTGTATCTAACACCGTGCCTCAGGGCTCAGGCTATCCACAGCTGTCCGTTAGACAGATGACAACCCGGCCACCTGACCTTGACACTTGTCAGGCGCCAGGGGGCAGTATTTGGCAGGCGTAACCCTCACCAGAACGTGGTGTCTACTATGACGAAAGAAACTCTTTGACAAAGCGTCATTGAGAGCTTTCGAGTGCCGTTTTCCCTGCGTCTTTTAGGACCACCGTGCACCGGTTCAAAAATTAGACAGGTGTGGGGGGGGGGGAGAATCTGCAACTGCCCGTCTCCTCCCCCCAGCGGATTGGTGTTTTTCCAGCCACGAACGTATAAGGGGGGGGGGGTCCGTTCCGTTTCGCCCCTGATCGAGCTAGAGCTTCGGGGGAAAAACGAGCGTGTTGCCCGCGACGAGAGGAAGCCGATGATACCCAATTTTAAGGTCATAGGTCATTGGTTGAACTTCCAGGTCAGGTCAATGACCCAAAAGTCGGAAAAATCGGGACCTGTTAGAACGTCGTAAAGCGTGGCTGCTATGGGTTTTTTCGGGGTGCTGATCACGAATATCATGTTAGTTATGATCATTGATGATGTCTTCATGCATTAAGGCCAGGTCGGGTCAGGTCAGGTCAGGTCAACCAGTAAGGATTTTGCCGGGTATTCGTAGTAGCCTCTGACAGCTTCGTAACATATTACGAAGGCACCAAAACTGCTTCGTAAATGTTCAAATGATTGCTAAATTCGAATTCAGCTAAAAAAAACTAGCCTAGAAACACGTAAAACTCGAAAAAGTGAACCGAGGTCATCAAAGGTCAATGACCTGACCTGACCTTCCGGTGACCTCGACACCCACCCTAATGCATGGAAACAACATCATATCCCATGTTTGAACGCTTGAAACCACGAAAAGACTGCTAAAGCGCGGCTAATGCGAGCCGACATACGCCGAATCGCGATTCCGGCCAAACATGGTCTCAAAAAGTAGGTCACAGGTCAAAGGTCATTAGGGTCAGGGTCATGAAATTTTGAGGGTAGGTGTAAAATTGATTAACGCGAGGCTACTGAAATTTTCATCGCGATCGGCCGCTTTTTACGCGAGTTATTCGCGAAAAACAGAGGGGGGATCCGTTCGACCCCCCCTATACGGGCGAGGGTTAAGCTTACTCTATTGTCTGTGTTTTTCAGGCCAAGGAGCTGCCTGCAAAGGACTTGTCCGGCACGTCAGACCCATACGTGAAAGTGACGCTTCTGCCTGACAAAAAACACAAGCTGCTTACTAAAATAAAACGGAGAACACTTCACCCCAGATGGAATGAAACGTTTTATTTCGAAGGTACGTAAACTGTGTGCTTAATGCTTATTGTGCGTGTCGGGTTGGGGGTTACGCGTGTGTTTTAGAGAAGATTGCTTGGTTTCGTACAATTTTAGAAGTTTTAAACTTTTACTGAATGATGGATTTTTACCATCATCATCATCATCATCATCATCATCATCATCATCATCATCATCATCATCATCATCATCATCATCATCATTATCATCATCATCATCATCATCATCATCAGACATCATCATCATCAACTACAGTTTATTAACAGTTTATTGTAGTTTATTAACCCTCGCCCTGGCAAGGCATTTTTCATAACACGGCCTGGCAGGGGGGTTGATGCGACCAGGCGCGGATACAAGGGGGGGCCATGGGGGCCATGGCCCCCCATAACCCCCCTTGGCCGATTTTTTTTTTTCAAAAATAAAATAAAAAGTTAAAAAGTTAAAAAGCTGAAAAGGGGGCCTCCTGAAAATAAAGTGGCCGAAATCCGATGAGTTTTTTTTTAACCTATCCACTTAGTTATTTCTTAGAAGACTAGCTGAGAAGACTTCTTTGTTAGAAGATTGGTAAAGCTTTTCATAACTTGGAGGTCTCTTATACTCACAGAGATGACCACTTTTACAGGGCCTCCTAACCTGCACAGAGGGCCTCCAAGCCTGCACAGATGTTGAGATGTTGCCTGAACAGCTAGATAAGCTCAATAGACGCAGTTTTTTTTGGGGGGGGGGCCCAACAAGTGTGAAGATGGGGCCTCCAACAGGTGGGATTATGGGGGGGCCTCCTGGTTTCTAATGGCCCCTCCCTTGGAGATTTTCTGGATCCGCCCCTGGATGCGACCCCCCTCGCGATTGGCTCCTATGGCACCTAGAAACGCCTGTGACACCTGAGGACCGTGCTGACTGCTGAGGTTTATCTATGGCATCATAGGTCTGTGACCTGACGGAACCTGAAAATGGATTTGGTGTCACAACATGCGGCTTGGATCAAAGGTCAGCTATGCCACGTTTCAGCTCCATATCGCTGGTGTGCTAGGAGCTATTGCGAACGAAGGACCTAGGGGAAGGGGCGGCAGTGCTGAACGAGTCATCCAGCAGCAGCTACAACACTATCTCTCTCAAAATCACCTTTTGGCATCTAGTCAGCATGGCTTCCGACCCCAGCATTCAACTGAAACAGCACTTTTGTCCGTCACCGACCGCATCCTAGCTGCCACGGACAGGGGAGATATATCTTTTCTATGCCTTATCGATCTCAGCAAATGTTTCGATGTCATAGATCATAAACTCCTTCTCGACAAACTCGCACTGTGCGGCATCGAAACTCCTTGGTTCAAAGCATATCTAAAAGGTCACACAATCTTCAGTTTTAAGGGAATCAAGGCGTAGCAAAAAAAGGTTACACGTGATTCTCCTTTGTTTATCAAATGGCTATCTCGGTTTTTTGACAATTTTGGATTTTGACCCCATTTTTTCTAAAAAACTGACTTTTTTGGGAAAATATTTATAAAATCCAAAATTTTGAGTGTATCGAAAAAACGTCAGAGAAGTGGAATATGTGCACCTATATACCAATTTTCAGAAGAATCAGTTCAAAAATGTGGGAGTTATTCAAAATTTTATGACGTCAAGACACAAATTTTTTGATTTTTTGAAGTTCTAGACCTCGTACGGAAACAAAAATAGCACCAATCGATTCGCCGTCAAAAACGACATCAGATAGACACCTTTTAGGCCTTAACAACCAACCTCAAAATTTGACCTCACTTGACCTGACCTTGACATGACCTCGACCTGAAATTCAGATAGACAGACAGACAGACAGACAGACAGACTATACGAGTATTTCGGATCCTCCATACAATGGGTTTTTTGGTATCCACGTCATTTGACAGATTCACAGAACCCTTATACAGGGTGATCCAAAAGAATTGGAACCCCTAACTTAAAATGTCTGTAAGTCCGAAAGTTTTCACTTTATTGACAAATTGCCAACATCATTAGAAAGAGCGTTCAATTATCTATAAAACCAAGTTAAATGACCTTAACTATTACTATAAATATTACCCTAGTTATATGCCTATACAATTTGTGTCACGAAACTCAGTGAAACGGTTTTCAATTATCCGCAAATCAGTGATTTGCGGTTTGCTGTTCTGACCATGTCGCATGTCGGAGGCTCATGAATAAAAATATATCATTCACGTGCTATTGTAATGAATTTAAATTTCAACAGGAGCAAAAAAAAATGTCATTCGGTGCTCCGTGCCACACGGCCCACTCAGTGGTCGAGTTTCAAGAACGGGCCTGCCCGGCCTTCATCGAGCCAGATGCCTGGCCACCGAAGAGTCCTGTCCTCAACCCTTTTAACTTATTCGTGTGGAGCGAACTGGAGCGAATGGTGTACAGAGGTCAAGAGGATCAGCACCATCGAGGAGCTGAAGGAAAGGCTGACGGCCTGCTGGGACCAGTTGTCCCAGAGACTGCTGGCCCGCGCAGTTGGAGCCGTCTGCAAGCGACTGCAGGCCTGTGTGACGGCCCACGGAGCTCGGTTTGAGCACATGCTGAGATGAACAGCGGAAGCTAGGATGCGTGTATCTGTTTTATTGTGTGCTTCTGCGTAAACTTTTATGTAAGAAAATTGAATTTGGATGTGGTATTATTCGTAAAAAACAACAGATGGAAAGCTAACGGATTTCAGTGCATTGTTAACAATTGGCGATTTCGTTTCACTCAGTTTTCTGACGCTCATTCCGAAACCTAACAGTGTGTCAATACTTTACAGCACACATGCACCAACTTGACATGATTTTATAGAGGATGTAATCTATATTACTATTTGAGGAGGGTGCGTCTGTCCGTTACCGAGGTCCCGACTTGGTGGTGCTTTGCGTGGACTGCAGGCCAGACCGTTGCACCTAGCCCGGTGAAATTTGCACAACTCATAGATCAAGGATGCGCGACGTGCCTTTGAGGGGTCTGGGCTCGATCGGGTCGATAGGGAGCGCGTGGTGCGTGCTCAAAAAGTGCAAATTCGCGTCATAGACTTTACATGTATAAATCGGCGTGCGAAATCGGGCGAAAATGGCTAATTTTGGCCGACACGGGTCCAGTTCCCGTGCAATATCTTGGTGACCAGGGATCCGACCGGCACGGGGAAAACAGCATCGTGTACAGAATTGAACGGGCTATTGAATGGTGTGCAATGCAGAGGATAGCACGCGCCACGTGCACCGGAGAGGGCACTTTTATTGGAAAAATTGCGGTTTTTGAGGGATTTTGGAATTAATTTTATTTTTAGGTGACCGTTAAATGGAGCGAGTTGAATCAACGCCTATTTGCAAGAGAAAGGTACCGCCTCTCATATAAAAATTATGAAAAGCTGATTGATCCAAATCAAGGTGGTGCAAATCACAGGAGAAAATGGTGTTTGTCAATTTTGTGCCACTTTATTAATCACACGGGGTTTGCTGCATAACCTGATACCTTTGGCAATTGAATATGGTACCATTGGATAGAGCATTCAATTCTGTCCAATATTCACTCTTCATTTTTGCATAATTAGCAACAGTATCCTTAAAAATGTAAATGTTCCAAACCATTACATTGTCATTTTTAGCGAAATTCATCGATGGCCCTCAAAAGACTTCACGCCAGTTTTCGAATCATTCTAAAGTAGAACGCATGATAATACGACACGGGCACCTCGATGCGATGTATCTTTTTGTTTTCTTACAAAATGCTTGGCCGTCAAAAAGCAATCGAACGAAATGGATATTTACCAACCAAATCGACACAGACCAACCCACGGGTCAAAAAATCCCCCCTTAGCGTTGCGGAGCACGCGGGTAACCCTAGTGTTCTTTCTAATGGTGTTTGCGATTTGTCAATAAAATGAATACTTTTGGACTTATAGACATTTTAAGTTAGGGGTTCCAAATTTTTTGGATCACCCTGTATAGTAAGACACAATAAGACACAATAAAATCGACAAAAACGGATTAAAACCATTCGCATCAAACACTGGACATGAGATTAAAATTACATACCAGTAAGGGAAAGATTGTAGTGCTTCGCTGCACGGAATAAAAAGCTATGGCGCGCAAACTGTGTGCTAACACGGGGCAACTGAAGCTGTCCGGTGTCAGTTGCCCTAGTTCGGCGAACAGATTCATCCGACCGCAGGACAAGTTTACTGCGCAAGATCTCAGGCGCATTTGACGCAGTTAGAAGGCGGCGCACAATGGCAATATCGCTGTCTCGGAGCACATCATCTACCAGTCCCCATCCGAGCTCGTGTAGCACGGGGGTTATGTGTTCACGGCGGCTTATTCCTGAAATGACACGGGCTCCAAAGTTCATAACTTTTTGGACGCGCTTCTTTTGGGTTGCACTGCAGCTTCCCCATACACTAATGCAGTATCGCACATGCGGGAAGATTAGTGCACTAGGGAAGATTAGTGCTTCGATCAGCAAACGTTTTGTGTCTTTCGGGATTCTGTTGCGCATTCTAGCAAGGCCTACTAGAATCATGTTACACCGCTGAACGATTGTAGTGACATGCTTGTCCCACGCCAGGTTCGGGTCGATGGTGACGCCCAGGACCTTGACACTGACAGATGCACAGTGGGGATTTTTCCGATCTAGCGCCTATTAATTCAAAAAATATTTTTTGGATTTTTGTTTATTTTTTTGTGTCAGTAGGGCTAAGAAATGTCTAAATTTTTCATATATGGCATTGTTTTATCTGTATGTCCACAGCAAAACTAGGAAAAATGCGCCCAAAGTTCACACTCATGCGTGATTACTCAATGGGCTCAGCAAGGCCCGAAAGTATAGCTCAATTTCATTGTCCTGTCCTGTTGGTTTTAATCTTGCGAGGTCTTAAAGTTGCATATCGTCTAAAAGGCACCTTTATTAGGAATCGAATGGCAAACAGAAAGTATGCCACAACCTTACTAAGGTCACAAAAATGCCCTTTACAAAAAACCCTTACAGACACCATAT